CCCCCCGCCCCCCAGGGCAACTCAAACAGGATGGAAAGAAATGAGCAGTGGCTTCATGGGAAAGATGGACAATGGTTAGGTTTTATTGTTGTATGATTCCACAGGGCTGTCCTGGGGAGGTTTATTCATTTGAATGAGGGAAATAAAATAATACAAAAAGAATACTCTGTTGGGGAATAGTATCTTTTTTCTTAAGATAATAGTTTTAATTTTTAAAGATATTCATCTAATATAGCAATGATTCTACAACTCAAAGGCATAATTATAAGCGACCTCAGTTTAAAATGGATAGTGAACTTGAGTATGTTTTTCCCCAAATAATGTAGACAAATGGTCAATAAGCCCTCAAAAGTATACTCAACATCATTATCTCTTAGGGAAATACACTTGAACATTTCTACTTCATATACATTAGGATGGCTATTATTGAAAAAAACGGGAAAGAAAATAACAAGTGGTAGTGAGAGTGTGGAAAAAGGAACTCATATACTCCTTGCAGCATTGTGATATAATGCAGTTGCTCTAGAAAACATTCTGACAGTCCCTGAAAAAAATTAAACATAGAATTATGATATGCCCCAACAATTCCTTTCTGAGTGTAGACCCCAAATACTTGAGAGCAGAGACTCAGAGAGGTACTTGTACCCTCATTACCATCACAGGGCTATTCTTAATAGTCAAAGTGTGGAAACAACCCAACTACCTACCAACAGATAAATGGATAAACAAAATGCAGTGCATACATACAATGGAATGAGACTTAGCCATAAATAGAATGAAACTCTAACGCATGGTACAAAATGGATGGGTTCTGAAAATTGTATTAATTAAAATAAATCAGTCACAAAAATATAAACACTGAGAGTTTTCTTTGGTAGCACATAAAATAAAGTTAGAATAATATAGACAAAATTAGCATGACTCCTGAACAAGGATGACCTGCAAATCTGTAGTTTTCCATATTTTTTCAGACAAATATTATTTTATGAATTAAATTGTAATATTTAAAATATAATAGATAAGTTCACAGAGACAAAAAGATAAGATACCAGTGGAGGGAGGACAGGAAGGAGTGAAAGCTATTGCTTAATGGGTTCAGCATTTCTGTTTTGGGGGATGACAGTCTTGAAGCTAAAAGGTGGTGGTGGTGAACAGCTTTATAAAATAATGCCATTCAATTTTCCACCGACAAGTGGCTCCTGTGGCACTCTTTATTATGTATCCACTCCAGGTACCTACATATCCACATCTCTCTCTGATCTCTAAGCACAGGTGTGGAGATCGGTACAGGTAGATGAGCCCTGGTGGCAAAGTGGCTTCTGCGCTGGGCGGCTCAACACAGGTCAGCAGCTTTAGGCCACCAGCGGCTCCGAGGGAGAAGGACGGAGCTTTCTAGCCATGTAAAGGGTTACTATGACGGAAAGCCTCGGGGACAGGTCCACTTTGTCCGATAGCGCCACTACGCGTCCGACTCGATTTCAGGGGCCCTGAGTTTGGAGTCTTTCTTCCAGGGAGCTACTGGGTGCCTTTGAACCTTGAACCTTCAACAGCCAAGTGTTTCAATACCGCCCCATAGGGCTCCTCTTACCATCAATTAACACAGAGTAGAGAGGAATCCCAGCCCTCTAGACCCCATGATTTGAAGGGACAGAACTATTTAGAGGGTCTTCTAGATTATAAATCGACATTTTGCTGGAATTCAGTCACTCTTCACTCTTCCCACTACCTGTGTTAGATGTTTGGGACACAAGGATGCAAGAATCCTACAAACACGCACACACATACACACACAACCATAATGATTTTTAAAGATCAAATTAGAATCTTTCATAAGTTAGGTGAGGTAGAAGAAAATCCCTTCTGTGAAGATAAAGTCTGTTTTATGAAATAAACTAGGACATGGGTTTTGTAAATGTCCGGTTTTCCCTCATTTTAGGCATTTCTTTTGGCCACTCTGGTATGGGCCCATATTCTAATTCTAAGAAGTGTTTCTTAAGTTGGATACTTGACAGTCTAGTGATGACGAGTGACAGGACAGAAAACCTCGTTAGACCAGGAAGGGCACCATCATCGCTGGCTACGGCAAACCTCTGGTCTATAGATAAGAGAACTGTGTATAGGTAATGAGCTCAGAAATACATTCACTGTTTTCTTTTTTTTTTTGAGGGTCAATACATAGTTTAATAAATGGACTTTGTGACTTGGTTAATAGCAAGAGGAGAAGGAGATGAAATATATTTTTGTGGTATGACCACTAGCATCCATGTAATGGGGGGGAAGGTGACCTAGCAAGTATAAACATACACAAAACATTATTTTTAATTTCCCCCAAGTATATATGAACCCATCTCAAATAACTATGTTTCACCCAAGCACATTTCTGATGTTATTTGGTAATTATGATTTACTCAGAAAGATAAGACTTTTAACTAAACTATATCTTTTTTTTAAAAAAACATTTTATTAGGGGCTCGCTCATACAACTGTTATCGCAATCCATACACACATCAATTGTGTAAAGCGCATTTGTACATCATTCTCAAAACATTTTCTCTCCACTTAAACCCCCAAAATAAGGCCCCAATTTCCCCCCCCCCCCCCCGCCCCCCCTCCCTCATGAGCCCTTGATAGTTTATAAATTGGTATTTTGTCATATCTTGCCATGTCTGACGTCTCCCTTCACCCACTTTTCGGTTGTCTGTCCCCCAGGGAGGAGGTCACATATAGTTCCTTGTAATCGGTTCCCTCTTTCCTACCCACTCTCCCTCTACCCTCCCTGTTTTGCCACTCACACCACTGGTCCTGTGGGGCTCATCCGTCCTGGATTCCCTGTATTTTCAGTTCCTATCTGTACCAGTGTACCTCCTCTGGTCTAGCCAGACTTGCAAGGTCGAATTCTAGTCATAGTAGTGGGAGCGGGGAGGAAACATTTAGGAACTAGAGGAAAGTTGTATTTCTCATCGTTGTTACATCGCACCCTGACTGGCTCATCTCCTCCCCGAGACCCCTCTGCAAGGGGATCTCCGGTGTCCTACTAATGGGCTTTGGATCTCCACTCCGCACTCCCCCCATCATTCACTATGGTAAGATTTTTTGTTCTGATGATGCCTTACACCTGATCCCTTCGACACCTCATGGTTGCATAGGCTGGTGTGCTTCTTCCATGTGGGCTTTGTTGCTTCTGAGCTTGATGGCCGAAATTCACTGTTTTCAATAGTTACTATGTGCTCATTCTTAAAGGCCAGAGAAGTGTAAAAATGTTTCATCTCCTATATTACCCCTGATTGATTGGCTAGTGTTTCATTAAAATGAAGAACTGAATGGAATTCTAAGGGCATTTCTGGACCCATTGACCAAAGATGCTGGTTATATATTGCTGTGTGTGTGTGTGTGTGTGTGTGTGTGTGTGTGTGTGACGCAGACAAGATAATCGCCCACTCACACGATTTTAATTATTATAAATACCAATTTACTGAATTCCTAAAACAGGTCATCTAAACAATTCTTGAATCCCCTTTTCAAATTATTGGCTCTGGAAGGCTATTACTCACCTCTCTCATTGTTTTAATTGATAAGAGGAGCGGTAGTAGGATACTATTTAAGGACGTGGCTTTTAACTGAAAGGAGGGTTCAAATCTACTAGTAGCTCTGTGGAAAAAATGACCTGACAATCTACTCCCTTAAAGATTACAGTTTAGATGACCCTGGGAAACCATTTTACTCCATCACATAGGATAATTCTGAGTCAAAATATACTCAATGGCACCTAACAGCAACACTTGATGCTAAGTGGGCTTTCTTTTGTCTAGCTTTGCTGTAGTAGGTACTGGTCCCTTTTTAATGTCGCTGCTTGTAGAGAAGTCAGGACCTGTCTGTGGCGCAGGAAAGCCTGTGGTGGTCAGTTTCATGTAGTGACTTGGCTAGACTACGGTCTCCATTTTATTGGTCAACTGGTTAGTGGGAAACCTTGAATGTAAGAAGGGAGATTTCCTGGAGCCTATCCTGCCTCCAGAACTTACTTATTATGCCTTTTCCCACCACTTAGCTTAGGGATTTCCACGCAGCTGCATTGTGGTACTGGAGAAGAACATTGGAAGAGCCATGATTTACTTAAAGGACAAGCTGATCTGTCTCGGAAGAAGTATAGCCAGAGTGCTTCTTAGAGGCAAGAATGCCAAGATTTCATCTTAGATACTTTGGACATGTTTTCAGGAGCGACCAGTCCCTGGAGAAAGGGTCTTATATTTGGTAAATTAGAGGGGCAGAAAACAGAGGCAGGCCCTCAAGGAGAGGGATCGACACCATGTCTGTCATGATGGGCTCACATGAAGGAACAATCGTATGGGGGACATAAGAATGCAGGGATGTTCACCTATGTCTGACCTATACGTATTCACTAGTCTCACAGTGCTTTCCGTCATCCTGAAGCACTGAGTTTGATAGGCTACTGAGATGGTCATTTGAAGGCTCAATTATGGTACACTCTTAATCAACATCTGACGTCTAATTCGGTGTCTTTCCCCGCTAACATTTACAGGTCCAGGAATCAATGAATAGAAATGAGAGTGGGGCCATTACTATTACTGCTCACTAGTAAATTTCCCGTTTAGAAAACAGTTGCTTCCTGTCTGCATGCCCCTGTCCTCTGTTGGTCTAGAGATCTTAGTTCCAACAAGGGGGACTGCTTTCACCAGGAGACACAACAATGACTTCTATTGAAGTGGGAGTTAAGAATGCCGCATAGCTACTTGAGCTCTCTTGCCTCTGCATCAATTGGGGGGAGGGGTGTTGCTATATAATTTGTTGTGATTGATCTTAACTACATGGGGGAATTGGATTGTTATTACACAATAGAGGTAAAAATAGTGTCTGGAATATAGGGGATTCCTTAGGGGTCTCTTAGTACTATTATGTCCTGTTATTAAAGTCAATTACACAGAGAGAGACAGATTCATCTAGCTAGCTATCTATGTATGTATATATATTTTTCTTTCTCCAGAGAACATGGCTAAGAAAAGATTTAATAGTCACCTAGTTTATTTCCATCTATTTCCCTCGTAGTGTTTTGAAAATGAATTTCTTGACTAAAATTGCCTTATATGGGAATTCTAGTCAAGGAAGTCTCCTTTGCTAAATTTCAATTTTCAGAATATGATTTACTCTAATGAGGGGTTCGAAAGAATAAGACACTCACTATGGCCTTTGCTTCGTGAGATGGTGATGATTCGAGGTACCCTGTCCCTGAGAGGCTGAGGGAAAACGATCACGTTGCCAAATGTAGCATGGCGGAAAGACAGAGTTTACGTCCCTGATGAGATTTTTGAGCCCTAACACAGTAAACTCAGAAGTGCTCTCCTAAATACCTTGTTATGGTATAAAAACAACAAAACGTAATGATTATAACCAAATTTGAAACAGCAATGAGCATCAGTCGAAGTATGATGGGATATGACTGTGAAGGACAGGGACAAACTCTAAATGAACATTTTAATATTTATTGGAAGAAATAGCCCTTTCCGTCTTTGGGCCCTGGTTGATATATGAGTTGCTCTCACCGTAAACGTGAAGCAAGAACCCTGATTGCAAATACCAACACTTTAGAACCACCGAAACATTTACTTTGTGGCACAGTAAGATCTAATGTCTATAGAGATCATTTTCCTTCATGTTATGTTTTCAAATTGTATATTTCTAAATTAATGAAAGAGAAGAACTTAAGTATAAAATTAAGTCTATGTTAGAAACAAGAGAATACCAAATAAATGGATTACATATTTTACAAAAGATGGTTTTTGATAACTATTGTTAACGGTTTATTAAGGCTTATAGAACAAGCCTAACATATTTAAAGCAAAAATACTTGTGGTAGTGAGATGATTTCATGTCAACTTGAAGATGCGTGAAAGTGTAGGCATGGACTCCAACCTGCCATCAGGTCACGACCAGGTGGTGTCTCCTTGGCCTTCT